CTGAGAATTTACCATACTGAGCAGCAGTTTGGTACAGAATCATCTCGGGGAAGCATGTGTGTTATAAGGCCTGAAATAATTTAAAATAGGAGAAATGCGGACTCTTAATAGCATAATTTATTCTTAAAAACAAAGCTCGCCTACACATTGCCAGCAGCTACAGTATATCACCCTGCAGTTCACAGCTGGCAGCCCACTGAAGCTCAGCAGGTGGGAGCCTGGCTAGTACCTGGATGGGAGACTCCTGGGAAAAACTAAGGATGCTGCTGGAAGAGGTGTTAGAGGGACCAGTAGGGAGTGCTCATGGGGCTGACAGGGAAACTATACTGTAAAAAGGTGCCATTCTTCGGATGAGACGTAAAACCGAGGTCCTGACTCTCTGTGGTCTTGAAAAATCCCAGGGCGTTTCTTTACTCTCCTCTAAAAGAGTAGGGATTTAAACCCGGCGTCCTGGGCAAATCCCTCCTGTCCTTTACCTCCTAATAACCCCCGTCTCTGAACTGGCTACATCACTCTGCTCTCCTCCCCACTGAGAGCTGGGGTGTGGGGAGCGTTCTGGCGCACTCTGGTTGCCGTCACATCATCCAGGTGGGGCTGCACACTGGGGGTGGAGCGGTGGGTTCAGATTACCTGTAAAGCGCTTTGAGTGGAGTGCCCTTTAAGGGCTCTATATAACTGTATGGAATTCTTCTTTTTCTTCTTATTAGCACACACACCAGCTCTGTAGGGTGGCTAGCAGGTTATTGAGAATGCTGCTCCCAGCATAAGCCCTCCTCGTCAAGCTCCTGATCAGCTGATGCCACCCGCTGATTAAATTTTACTGGTTGCACATTGCGCATTGACGGCAAATGCATTCTGGGAGGTAATAAAGCGCTGCTCAAAGCCAGTGCTTTATATCTGGAGTAACAGGCTTCTTAATTAAACCATAAAGATACTTGCCGGTAATTTGGCGTGAGCAGGAACAGGTGTCTGACCTTGATAGCAGTAATTATCCATCTTGTGTTAAATAAAGGAATAAGGGAAATGAGAAATGATGGGAACCAGCCCCATGCCTCTTTCCTGGAGATCCGTAGCTCAAGAATGGAAGGAAACAATAAGCTAGTCTCTTGGAGCACAGGACACAGTATAGCCGTTCTGCCTGCTGTGAATTATTGGCCGTCCTCAGGATACTTTGACAATGGTACAAACAAAAGAAAAAAGCTACGAGTTTGTGTCTTTGGCTCTCCCAGATGGGTTTGCTGCCTGAGATAAATCTGTATAGAGGACAGAAACCTTAAGAGCATTCATGCTGAAGAGCAACTAGACCCACAGATTGAGAGCTAAACTAAACTGTATTAACAGGATTCAAACCTGTTATCATAGCAGAAAACGCAAGTGGAGGTTGTGAATTAACCAGTGGCGCTTATACAGTATATTGTAATTTCTGATTGTGTATAGCATGTCAAAAGACGTTTTCCGAGCTGTTTACATACTGTATACAAGCAAAGAAAACCACCTAGAGTTGCAGAACTGCATAGTCACTTCCATTTGCAAAGACAAATAAATTTATAACAAACTGATCTTATGTATTTATTGCAGTTTAACAAATGTGTAGTTTAACAAATGGGTCACATTTATTGAAGATGGAGCGTATTTATCCTTTTGCCTGCAGCTGTATGTAACTACAGGAAAGGAAACCAGTCATTTTCATACCCTTCTTAATTATTTAGCATTAGGAATCGACAGTCAGGTATTATTTTAAAAAGCTGACATCTATAGGATAGCATGTAAGCCATCTACAACAACTGTTGGGTTTGGTGTCGGGACTGTTTTTGTTTTTCCCCAAAAGAGCTTCGCTGGTTGCTAATAACCACATGCGGCACGGAGAGATTAAGTTTTGATATGAGTTACATAGCTCTGTCAGAATGTCTGTAGCAGGGGCGGCCAGCCCTGATCCTAAAAAAACACAATTCTTTGGATACCCTTAAATAATCAATACGCAACACGTAAGTTTTGAGCAGTTTAGTAAATTAACTGGTTCAATGAGGTTAGAAATGGCCAACTGTTGTCCCTGAGAGCTAAATTGGCTGGAATTGTTATTTCAAATGATTCTGACCTATTACACTAATAGAAATAATCACTTGCTTAAGTAGTCAAAAAGGAAATTATTGCAAAACTTTAAAGACCAGTGATGGCTAATGATAGCAGCCTGCAAAACCAATCTTTGAAATGTGCATTTTAAAACCTGAATTGTAACTGCTGTAGGAAGAGCCATCCTTTGCACAAGATGTTAAAGCTGAGTACTTGGTTATTAAAGATCCCATGGTACTGCTTGTAAGAGTAGCGCTGTTAACCACAACTCCCTAGCTTAATGCACACGTCTAACTTATATTCCACCGGAGCAGTGTTTATTTTGTGTATTTTGTATTCAGATGTTGACAGTGGTGCAGCTCTCTTGATTGACTGGCTGCTACTCAGGTTTCTGTGGAGTGTGAATTGTCAGGCTGGTGCATGGCACGGCTGGTGAAATCCCTGCTATAATTCCTGTTGCCAGCTCATGGATTCGTGTAGCAGTGGCCAACACTCGAACCCTGACGCTCGTGGGGACCTTCCAGGCTGCAGCCCAGCAGCACTATTTTTTACACACAGCAGTGGGGGGGGGGGGGGGGGGCTGGATCTGCACTGTCCTAGCCATGCATGTCGAAGCTCATTTCCCTGGGTCTTTCAAATAATGAAACCATCACGTCTCATCTCACACCTGACACGATCGGCCCCCGTGTAGCACCAGAGGTGAGGTTTACATATTCATTAGCTCCCCTGCCCAATAAACGCTCCGCTGCATGTAATCTGAGTCGGAGAAGGGGGATAAATTATTTACAGGAGCTGAGCTGACGAGAGGCGACTGCGAGGTCTGACTCGGGATGCCCCACTGGCTGCACCCAGGACCAGTTCCAGATTGTACTCGGTCTTTTAATAAAAGTGAGCAGGTGTCCTTAGCGCGCAGGACAGACCGGCACTGTGTGATCTGTGGAGGGGGGTGGCTGGACAGACACAGCAGCTACTACAAAGCACAGGCAACCCCCCCGAGCTCTGGCCGTGCAATGCACAAGCCTGTTCAGGCACAAGCAGAAGCACTAGTGCATTGCTTACACAGCAGAAAATCGTCCAACTGGTGTTCAGTCCCTTACACACAGCCTGCAATGCAATGCCATAGAGCTGGGAGTCGACCAAAAGCAGTCCCCCAGCCCCCTAGCCTGTGAAGTACCCAGGCTTATAGGTTTCTCTGTAAAGTGTGTTAGATGCAAAGAGAATGAAGGAGGTATCCCCATCAGTTTCTGCTGTCCTGTTTTAATTTTTCCCCCTTTCCACAGGTGTACTGAATTATGTCTACACATCTTTGCAAAGATGTCTCTATGATAAACAAGGGGAGGCCTTTTCAACACTGCAGTTGTAAAAAGCATCGTCTGCTATCAGCTCTTGAGCAATTATTTTCTCTTTTATCCGCTGCCTTAAAAAAAATGCACACGTCTTATATCCTCTACTGAGCCATTCGTTTTGCTTTTGCAGTGCTATTGCAGTGGAGAGAACAGCACACCGTACATCCGTTAGTGTTTCTCAATGATATTGTTCTACTTACATACATATGTCAGTGGAGTCCAGTCATTGCTTGAACGCCTTTCCGTATGGCAATTCCTTTTCTTAGCACCTTATCTGCAGTCGACACCCCCTCCTTTTCATTCAATATTCAATAAAAAAATAATGTAGTAGAGCTCTGATTCCTGCAGTCACATATTATCATGACCCAGCTACAGCGCGGTTTTTTTTCCCAGCAACACCAGCCTATGTTATTAGCAAGCTACACATTTCACGTACAGTCACCTTCTGCCATCTGCACACATTACAACGTAACCGCCAAAGACAGAAGAGCACTAAACACTTTAGTGCTGATGTTGACGTAGACGCAGGCAGGACGACAGTGTTCCGTCCATTTAAGGAGGTTATCTCACAGCGGCTGGACAGCTGTTCTGTTTCTCTCACCCCCCCCCCCAAACAAACCAAACAAAAACAACGTGAAGCAGAACGACAGATTAAGATCTCGCCCCCTCTAACATTACGTGGGAATAAAGCGATGATGGTTATTTTTAAATTTTCCCGGGGTTGCCGGCTTGTTTCGTTTTGCTTTCCCCGGCGTTAGGGCCGTTGCCGGTTTTGCAGGGGGGTTTGGCCCCCCCTCCCTCTGCAGCCTGGATCACCCCCATCCCCCCGTCAGGGGGGCCCACCTTGAGTGAACCAAGGCTACTGACATTACGGCACTATATAATCAAGGACGTTGACGTCATAGCAGGAATCCTGCTGATCTCCAGCCAAAGCCACACTCGCGCGGGCAAGACGAAGGAGATGCGAACCTTAACAGCTGCACAGCTGGATTCGTCGGCGCTGTGCAGAATGATGCCAGCCGGTTACACTGCGCCCACCTGCGCAACCGTGCGGGATACTGGTTTCTGCTGAAATGCGTTTAAACTGCAAGTAGCTATTTTTGTCTCACAGGAGTAGAGTGTCTTTTTAAAGTGATCATTACGGCCTGTCCCAGCGTCGTGTGTACACGTTGTTAACTTTTATTACGTTTAGGACTCATCGTTGCTGCTGTCGCCGTTAACGTTACTGGACCTACTGATACGAAGGTCCGAGATGATTTGGAGATACCAGTTTCCCCATTACGAGCCAGTATGATACTGAATTGTGCCTCTTTTTGGTGATGTCAACCGACACTTCAAAGATGAGTTTACACGGCTTGTTCGCCGCTCCAGAGCGGTCAAACAGACGTGCTGCTTATTTCGTATCGTTGAAATCCTAAACAACGTACACTAACAATTCAGAGCATCGTTCAAAATTAACTCCTGTCCCTTTCCAGCAGCCCCTCAAAATGTACCGATACCTCTTCGTATAAATGTCCACACACACAGACTGATTGCATTCGTTTCAGAATTATCTTTCAATATAACACTTTTCTCCAAACTCACCCGGAGTTTCTTCGTCGCAGCACGGAAGCCAAATCTTTTGTGTGTGTCGTTTTCCAGCTTTTAAAAAAAATATTTCATCAACGACTTGTGGAAAAAATATTATACAAACGTCTGTTTTACGTTTGCGTGCAAAAAAAACGAGGATAATTGAAAAGGATTTAGTCCTTTGTTTTGAGCCTGCCGGAAGAGAGCCCATGATAACACATCAACACCAACACAGCAGCGTGATGCAAACTACATTGAGCGACGCTGGCTTGGCAGCGCCTTTCAAAATAAAAGTACCCTAAAACCTGCCTCGGGAAAAAATAATTCTGAACCAGGATCACATTTATAGCACAACAATTTGTACATCCTCAAAACGAGGTGAAATGAGATAAATAGACCCACAGGTAATAGGAAATTGCCGTTCTTCATTATTATTTTGTTTTCTTGTAATCGTATTGACGTTTTTATATCACTTCCTCCTTGCAAATAGACACAGAGCTGTGCACTGCTAGACAGAAAAAAGTCTCATTCCTGACAAAAAAAATTGTGCCTCTCCAAAAGAAGTTCAAATCTATTCCACAGACCCACAGCTAATAGAAAATCACCATGATTTTCTCAGATAAGTGTGTCTGTCAAAACTGCTGGGGTTTATAGAGCACCTCCCATTCCCAGACTGGGACCATGCAGCAATGGACAGGGAGCAGTCTCACTCCTGTCACGACAAAATTTGTGCCTCTTCAAAAATACCTTAAATCTATTCTACAGACCCACAGATAATAGAAAATCACATTGTTTTTGTCACATAAGTGTCTGTCAAAACTGCTGGGGTTTAGAAGACCACCTTCTGATCCCAGAGGGTCTTGAACGTCTTGTGTATTGTTACAGGTAAGGCTGTCTGTTTCTTTGTCACTGATTGCAAGCTATTCAAAGACTCTTTCAGTGCCTATGCAGTAGAGTTGATATGTAACTCTTCAGTGGCTCCAGATTTTTTTGTGTTTCATGAGTATTGGCATTCTCAACTGTGAGTACATGGTTTGACCAACATGTGTCTCTGTCTGATGCCTCCTTTATTTCTAGAAAACAAACATAGCATTAGTTTAGTCTATGCTATGTGTTGGCTATGTTGTGATGTTTTGGTCATTTGCTTTAATTCTAAATTTCTGTCCAATGCACAAAAGTACTACCCAATAATGTCCACCTCTGCTTATAGACTTTCCTTCATGGTGTAGCGGCGAGGCTTATTAAAGTAGAGGAATTACGTTTTCTGCTCCCTTTCCAGTCCCTCTCTTCTTCATCTCAGTGGTGCTTGATACAGAGAGGCCATTCCATTTGGCTCACAATTAAGGTGTTTTTCTAGCTGATAGAGTGTCCTGATAAGGAGCAACTCCCAAAAGCTGGTACACATCAACCACCCTAACAATCTAATTTCTGGCGCCTAACAGTCTGAGATTCCAAGGGAAAGTGTTATTCAAAGTTGGTTTACAACCCTAAGGTCAGAGGGTATGGTTACTCATCATCAGCCAATCAGGAACTGGTGGGGCAGGTTAATTCCACACGGGTCTCTGATGCCCATGAAACTTTCAATCAATGAATGACCTGCATGTCCTCCAGGTAAAAACAGGCAAAACAGTTCCCAAGCGCAGGACAGTTCCAAAGGGTAGAACAGTTCCCAAGGGAACACAGTTCCCAAACGCAGGACATTCTCGCAGCACGCCTGCTGGACATTCAGACTCAGAGCACCTCCTGAACATCCTCCGACTCAGCCCAGACCACCACGTAACGGCCAGTGTGTCCGAGTGCAGGACTTTCCTTTGTTCTAAGAGTCGAGAGCAGAGGTTGCCAGCGCGTAACCAAAGGATCCACCCGAGGTTAGCACCAGCAGCAAGCCTCGTGGACAGGTCAGAACTGTGGACAGCTGAATCAGGATTCAGGACTAGCGCTTCATCAGGAACGAACCGGTCTTC